ACTTCATCAAATCATTAATATTAATGTTTGAGATAGAGTCTTGATCTGTGATAAAGAAGTCATTTAGCTTAGTCTTAATAAACATCTTTTAATAGTCTTATAAGCTATTAAGAAACATGTCATGATAGAAGTTATTATAATTATTTATAAGCTTCTTATAATATATAATAAGATAGCAAAATCTTCTCTGATAAATGAGATAGTTATTATTCTTAATATACAATATGATCAGCTTCTTGATAATATTTATACATTTCTTCACTAATAAGATAGTGTACTCTGTCTCTATCTTCTCTTATAAAGCCACTGTATTATCTGACTCTAGAGTGTTAATAGTAGTTCAGATAAGTTCTAAGAGTAATTATATTATACATTGATATAGAGTCTTTATATACACTAATCAATACTTATTCTCTAGAGCTGTTAATTCTTCAGATGACACTTGCTGATTCTTTATTAAGATATTAATTTTATTAATCATCTTCATATTTATCAAGATATCAATCTTTTATACTTGATAGTTAATTTCATTAAATATAGTGATAGTTTTCATATCTATCAAAGTCTGTATCTTCTTTTAATATTCACAGATCTTCTACTTCATATTACTTACTGAGATTTCACTGTTATTACTATCAGAGTTCTGATATGTAGTTATTATCATCTGCTAACAGAACATGAGTAGATCTGCAGCAGTCATGATTATAGTGTCATTAACACTGAAGATAGACATTGTAAATATTGTAGAGCAGAGTGTTTTATCTGAGTTATCAGTGACCTCAGAAGCTTTACATTCTGATTATTTATCAGTATGTTCACTTTCACTTGAAATCTTCATGATATTATCTTCTTCTGCTAAATCATATTGTGTATGTTCTTCTTCTTCAACTGAGTTGAATTCTGAGTTGAATTCTGAGACTTTTGAATGTGATCTGAGTGTTCTTTTACACTCTGATAGAGGTGTTGAAGACAGTTCACTTATTGAGACCTTCAAAGAGAGATGAAATAAGGGGTAAGATAGCTCTTAATTCTTCAAAAGGTCACATACTACTGTTTTTAAGCCAATGTTTATTCTGCTAACATGAGTTAAAACAAATTCTCTTAATATACAGTAATATTGTATTCTTTTGAAAAGAAAAAAAAAAAAATGATTCTCAAATCATCAATGAACTCATTCACTTGCTAATGCAGCATTTTTAATGAAAAATGTGTAATTCTCTTAAAAACATGCTATCCAGGCCATAACCTGTGAGATGGTTAATCCATTGTATTCGTGTAGGAACTAGCTAATCTATATACACTACGTCACGTACCACGTTCGCTAGGGCGACCGCTAGGCGGCTTCCGCCCAACATTTTGATGGGGTGCACGTGATGTCACGTGATGTCACGTTACAGCGTTTTTTGCACGGAAAAGTTGGTTTTTCTTTAATATAGAGAGATAGCTAGATGCTAGCTCTTCATCAAAAGAGTCAGTAATTCATTTTCCTTTTTGAATATACAGAAGTTACTGCTATTCTCATACAATCTTCTTAGCATACTAAGTATCTATGAGATCCTTGCAATAACCTTGTAGTCTACAAGCTCACTATTCAAGCAAGATAGTCAAGCCTACTCATACAGCTTCTCACTGGATACCATCCTCCTGTGTGACACCGCCGCTTAGCTACCGCTTCGGTTCCGTCATGTTACATCAACGCAAAATCTTGTTAGTGGTGAAATCACTGAGTGGAGGTGGCATATTGATGATAAAAGGTAAGAAATGTATTTGGATGATAATTGAATGATTCTAGAGAAATGTGGATATTTTGATTTTTTTGTGGTGGTTTGCTACTAATTTTCAGGGGGTGCTGGGAAAATTCTGTTTTTTGCATGCCACAATACAAAAAGTGTTTACGTTGGACGTTCGAGTGAACCAGTAAACATATTCCATTTAAGGAAACAAAACTATCTTTGCTTTAGAAAATGGATGAAATTAGAACATGGACCGATGCTATCAAGGTAGTTTGATCATTGCTATCATCCGAGTGGCTTGGTGTCTCTCCTGCTCTTGAGGGAGAAATATAATATTTGATGTAAACAGATGCAAGAAACAACTGCTAATGTTCGATTTTTTTATTTTTTATTTTTATTTTTTTGGTTTATATCCCTTCTTCTCTTACTTTTCTCCTCTTCCTTACTTTTCAGTTTTCTTGCTGGTATTTCCCTTCAGGCAGGGAGTGTGCGATCCGTAGGAGAAGATGTGAAGCGCAGATGTGTCAGTTGATCAGTTGAAACTGGTAGAAAGCCCCCTACATGTAATTCTGTAGGTCCTCGTCCTCCTCGTCATCGTCGTCAGATTCGATAGTGGCCGCAATTGGCTGAGGGCAGCGCATAGTCGGAGCCTCACTCTTCGGAAAACGAGCACCCTATCACAGATATACAACATATTAGGGAAGGCTAGGAGGCAAAAGGAGAGCATGGTTGCAGCAAGCGGGAAATAAATAACCAGCCGGTATAAAAAAAAAAAAAAATGGTAAGTTCAACATACGGGAACTTTCGCAAAACCACCTCGACTGCCTCTGACCCTCGCTGTAGCTGGGTTACTACCCGCCCTACTCGCTACTACAACACCCTCCAATCTGCTATGCATGGTTGGGGCTACGGATGGCGCGTCAACAATGCGGACATGAGGATTTCCCTGGGGATCGAAGGCAGTGAATCTGGTACCCGCCCCTTCATAGGAGGTTTCGGTCAACGGGCGTCTCCTCGGCTGCTCAAGCCAGACTCCTCCGCCCCCAGTGCCGCCATCAACGGAGAACGCGTCCTCATCGCTATCGAAGTCGTTCGGATTTTCGAGATTAGAGCTTTGGGCGACGGAACCTTCCTGCCAGTATGGGTTTTGCGCGATACAATGGCCGTTAGACGATGGGATGGAGAAGTCGCCCCTCTGGCTCTGGCTAAAGATAGTAGAAGTTCCGTCCTCGATCGTTTCCCTGAGGTCTTCAGAGACGGGATCCCTTTCTAAGTGCTCCTGGACGCAATTTTTGCATCTCTAAAGAGGCCGTCTTATCAGAACTAGACCAGTAGAGATACATAAAACAGAGGGGAAAAGGGGGGGAGGGGAAGGGAGGTTGGAACAGCCAGCTTACCGCATTATCCGGATCATGGCGTTGATTCTTGCTAAAGTACTCCAAAGCCATGGTCTTGCCACAGAAGCTGCAGGTGAGTTCGAATACTTGGCCAGATATGCAAGTCATACAGCCAGCATAGTTTTGCCCAGTGATGCCATTGCAGCCAGTCTTGAGCATCCCCTTGCAAAGCTCTTCGAGCTGACGTTTGGAAAAGGCTGACTGCCCGCGGATTTTCTTGCACACCTTGCATTTTATTCTATTTGCATGTGAGAAAAGACACCTATTGACCCCCTAGTAAGGTTGGAATCTGTAGTGGAATGCCTCTTACTTGTCAGGAACCTTGACAGACGCGAGTCTATCAACGGCTTAGCATTTCTTCCCTAGTCATACACAAAGCAATCTGGGATCTTACCGCCGGTTGTAGGTAACGTAGTCGAAGCCCCCTTTTGGAGCCATGATTCTTGAGCTTGGCTGTGATAGGTTTGATTGATGTGGATGGAAGTTTGGAAAGGTGGATGAAGACCAAGGAGAAAGGAAGGGAAAGCAGCAAATTTTGAGGCTTAAGCTAATTCACCTGTAGCACCTCACAACAATTGAGTGAATATGCAAGTGGAAGAGTGTGCTGTGGTGTTCTTGAGTGCTTTTGTCCTAAAGATGTAGTAGGTGAGTGATAGAAGCCCTCCTTCAAGCTCAGCTCAGGGGATTTATTTCCCTTTTTAAAAAACATGCAATCATCTATTGGCATCAATCAAAAGGCCCTCACAGCATAACATTTATTCCTCAAAAGGCAACATTTTACCAGGATGGCAGTCTTGTGCATCTAGCCGAGATATGCCTCTCTTCCACAGAAAGGACTGAGGTTCCCCTTCCCGGCAATCTGCTTTCTCCCCCTATAGGAACAATGAACATCATTGTGCTCTACTTGAGGTGGGATACTGCGTACCTTGAATGAGAGACAAATGACGGTAGACAGACACAGCCTAAAATTACCAGAAAATATCCCTTGGGCAACAGCAAGGCCCGCTATTACCTGCTGGTATACCATACCCACAGGTCTGAGAGCTGGTTAACAATCGCAACTGAAGTTGAAAGCTGTATCAGAGAGGGTATAGATGGATGGCAGTGTGAAAATGAACCATTTTATGGGAAGATAGAGATGGGTTTTATTATTTCAAGAGATATTAGATATTGGTGGTGGAAATATAGGCTTGCTTGGACCAAACCAGCTGTGTGTAATGTGGTTTTCACGCCACGGTTAAAATCACTCTTGTCATCTTGCGAGAAGGCTGCCAGCACGAGAATGGACATCGCCGCGCAAAACTCACCGCTCAACGGGAGAATGGGGATGCATAAAATAATTATTTGAAGGATAGCTGACAATTGTCATTGGTATAGTGCAGGTTATTGTTCAAAGAATATACATCCATGTACATGGACTTCAAAAATCCTGCGGGATAATATGGAAATATCATCGCCAAATGCCGCAGGGGTCTTTATGGAACGTCAAGGATGACAGATGACGGATGACAGATGACGGATGACGGATGAAATGACTGAACTGCAAAGGCGCGGATTATTGCTCCAGGAGTTGGCAAGTAAGTCAAAGGAGAATCTGAACAGCTTTGAAGCCAGGTTTAATTCAGCTGTCATTCCCCTTCGGGTCGATCTTGTCCCTTTGCCCACCTCAGATTTAGCAAATTAGCATGGCAAAACAGAGGCACTTTGCCCTATGGCATCAACTCGCTCCAGGAGACTCATCTCGTCGGGAACCAGTCAAACATGCCTTACCGCGTCGCAAGGTATACCCATTGGCTGATGGCTCTGAGCCAGCCATGCGGCTAGGACTGGAGAAATTTTTTTTCGTCGCGCTTCCAATATCCACATCTAAGATACATCAATGCCCGCCTCGTGAACGGACAAGCCATTACATTTCCACGTTGAGTGCGGAAAGGAAATGGCATCAGTGGCCAGGCTGCAGCAAGGATTCTCCACCAGTATAACCCCGCACTTCGTCTTGGTTCTCTCATTCTTTGTAGAAAACTGTCTTTGTAGCAACCTGTCATGAACAACTCCCCATTTTCTACTTAATTCAGTAAGTTCGAGAAATTGTAGGCGAAATCAACAAATTCTCGCGCAGACTGCCTCTTTACTCAAGCCCGCAAAATGGCCAAATCCATCAGCATTTCTGCTGTCGGCCACTCGGAGATAAATCGAGACCCAGAGCGCGCCGTTGTCTGTTTCAGGGTCTCACAGAAGGACGGGAATAAAACGGCTGTGTCCAATAATGTGATCCAAACGGCGAATACCGTCCAGGAGTTCCTTGAGACATACATTCCCAGACTTGCCTCTGGCGAAGCCACTCCGGACGCGGCGATCACTCACTGGACCATGGGCACCCTTAACACTAAATCTTACACCGATCGCGACGAACAAAAGACTATGTTCGAGGCAAGCACTTCGTTCTCTGCCACATTCCGAGATTTCGATAAGCTTGGAGCCGTCGCCACGACACTCAGCGTGATGCCAAACGTTAGCATAACGAGTACACGATGGATGTTGACGGACGCAACGATAGCGTCATTGATTTCAGAGTGCAGAATTAGTGCGGCACATGATGCACGGACGAAGGCGAGAGATTATGCTAAGGCGTTTGGGTATCAAGACGTGGAGCCTTATGAAATTTCGGATACCAGTTATGGATTACCGTCGACGAGTACGGCGAGCGTGATGCGCTCGAGAAAGATGATGCGCCCGATGGAGAGGCAAGAGCAACAGTTGATATTCCGTCCCGAGGAAGTGTCCATGACTTCGACCGTTACGATTAAATTTAATATTGTGTGATTTGCGGGATGGGATGGATAACAAGGTTTTGCCGATGGCGTGTCGAAAATAGGAACGAAGAGTGGGGAATCTTGTTGTTGATGATGATGAGACACCAATTGTAGCAATGTCAGGATATGACTTTAATGTTTCTGCCTCTCACGGCCTTGGAGGGTTTATTCCTGTCTTGTATTCTACATTCTTTGGCCAGCCCCTAGCTGTGGTTTTAAAGTCAAACTCAAGATGTATGCATCTCCTGTCGGTTAATCACGAGAATGGATGGATAAGCGAAGTTTATTTGCCGCTTGAAAACTTAGAGTACTATTAGGATCACCACGCATCTCACTTGGGAGTCGCGGTCAACACAATGAGGACGCAGCGCCACGGGGAACCAGAAGTGTACCCTATTAGCCCTCATAACGTTTTTAGGAGCTGCAATATCAAGGGTCTGACCTTGTATGTATGTACATGGAAGAAAATATAAACAAATGGTTGTTAAACTGGCGTAGGATGTTTGGATGAAGCTCCCCACAGTCACTCCCTTCATCTTAATTATATTGGCAGGTTTCGGGACACGGACGCTGTCTGCTGAAGCCCTCGTATCCTTTCAGAGTATCAATTTGCAATGAAAAAACGATCCTAATAACCCGAGAATAACCCTAAAGCAGAAAATAAAATTAGAATACCTTAAAAGCAGAACGTATCATCATGTCCAACTGGCTCACCACCGTTTTTTTGAACACTTTGTGTTCGTAATTGGGATTACGTTTCAGATCTTGATCCCCCAACTCTTTAGATGACCACATGGCTTGGGGTGGATATTCTTGATGGTGTACCACCATGCTCTTCGACTGGGTCTTACTCAACACTGACGAGATGGCCACTATGAATATAAGTACCGGTTCGGCTGACACCAAAATTCCAAAAAAAAAAAAAAAAAAAAAAAAAAAAAAAAAAAAGGAAAAGGAAAAGAAAAAGTGGAAATACTGCAATTTAGTTCACAAAGGAGTATCATGATCTGAAAGTTGCCACCGAAGATGTATGATCCCTAGTCCTACTCATTCAACAGGGGTGTCATCCATCCATCCATGGTAATGCTTGTTCATTTTTGGGTTCGGGAGTTTCCGCCGCGGGCCGCTGATGGCTCTTGCCGCGCGGGAGAGCGGTAAGCGATATTTAGCGAGCGAACGGGCACTTTGCCCAATCCGGAGAGCATTCCCCAAACCCCAGCCGGCACCACTGGACATGGAAAATTGGGCATCGCGCGGATGTCAACGCCTGTAGGCACTTGAAGAGAGGAGAAAGTTCCATGGTAAAATAGGTGAACAGAAAAAAAGTTTGCCCCATTACTATTATACCGTGATAGTTTCGGAGGGAAAGGCTGGGGCCTTTCTCTGTCACCATGGCGATTATCTGAAGCAAACAATAATGAGTGCCGCTTGAGCCAACAGCCTACAGGCAAAACTCCGCCCCTCTTGCGGCCTCCAATTTATTCCCCTGATGGACTGCGGCAATCCTTGTTGAAACAAATAAAATGACGGCGTGCTCCATATGAGGCGCTAGTTCCCAGGTACCAGGCAATCGTATCCTTGCTTCCTGATGGCTCGAAGACCCAGTGTGAGGGGCTGTGTTAATTTGTTCTAGGGGCCTTCGAGAAAAAGCGGAAAGCGGTCGGTCTTACTATTGTGGATTTGGCCCAGGATATGCGCAGTCTTATCATGGGAGTAAGAATACGGAAAAAGAATGGGAAAGAAAAAGTCAGCGGCGGTTGCTCAGTATTAATGCGCGATAATCCACCAAGAGGGGGACAACAGTGATAGAATTCAGCACAAAGAGTCGGACCATCAAGTCCGAGGATGCTCTGAATGGCTTCACGTGCAGTCCATGAGCGTTCCTAACGAGCGCCATTATTATTATCGTCACAAGAGAGCCTGAGAGAGGGCCTTGAAGAATTTTGGGAAGCAGCCTCCTCGAACGGGTCCCAGCCAGCCGGATGAGACAAAGAGCAAGAGCTCTCGATGTTTTGTTTGCTTTTTCTTTGCTCCTCGCCGCGGCTTCCCATCCTATGATTTGATTTTTGAGATTACGGATTCCTTACGTTTCCGAAAGGATTTTTGTCCCCTCCCAAGTGCACTCCACTCGATCGTCCACGCCAGCACCCGTCGATAAAAAATAGTCGAGCTCTCGTGAGAGTCTAAATGTGAATGAACTCCATCAAGTTCTGGGTTTTGGGGAACAGGCTGCTTTTGCAGGCATGGCTTTCCTGTGAACGCTACAGAGTATGATCGTCCTAAATAATTATTAGTATTCGACCACATCCGGCACGGGTCTGTTTGTTCGGGAACAGACCCATGTTTTTTCCCTGCAACAAACTCGAGACTTTAGGGATCGAGAGAAGCGGTTTGCAATGAATGGCCACTCACTCATCCTCATACCGATAAAACGTGTTGCTAGGACTTTGTTACGGGGACGATAGCGAGGTTTTCATAATTATTATTTGAGCGCTCTTGTCCATCCATTATCCCATTCCGTCATTCTGCTTCTGTCTCACATCTCTGATTGCTCAAATATATCAACAGTAGCCGGACTTGTATCGAATCCATGTTACCGTTGGCCAAGCATGGATCCACTTAGTCACATCTAGCAAGGGGGGCGAGCTAATGAAATGGGCTCAGGACCAAGCCCCAAGCAAAACCCGAGCCTGCAAAAATGGAAATGAGACTGGGTCGCAACCCGGTGGCCGCGGCACTAAAAGTTCGGGCTCGTGGCATTTCCGAGAGGAGAGGGGACCCTGTTTTCTTCACGAGCCTTGTGCTAACTGCTCTCAAGGATGCTTCATTGTATTGGCAATAATGTTTGCACTTTTTATGTCTGCAGAGCAGGATGCACGAAGCAGTCGAAATTGAAAACAATGAAAATGAGGGGAGAAAATGCCAAAGTTTATCCCCGCCAACCCGGTGATAGCGTTCTGGATACCACAAAGCATGATAGTCAGGATCACCTTGCATTGCAGTGCAGCAAGGCCACAAGCTGCACAAAGCTGACAAAATGTTATTTTTCGCAGAAGATTAAAACAAGGGTGCAAAACACGCAAAGGTTTGATTGGCTGATTGGATTGTCACTGACCACGCCAGAGAGAAAAAGAAAAAAAATGGTGCTACTCTGTAGTGTGTATTGCATTCAGCAAATGCCTCTATATCATGTGAGAGGACTAAAATATCTGATGGATCTCATATTGTGTCAGTGAGACTACTATCTAGTCATAATCACATTTATTAAATAGAATCAGTATTTATAATGTAATATTTTTTTAAATCAGTTTAAAAAAACTTCAAATATTATTTAAGTATTATCAAAAATCTTTATTTTTTCAACTTTTAAAAAATAGTATTAAAATAAGTTTTATTTTTTAAAAAATACTAATTTTATATCAAATTAAATAAAATAAAATAAATAATTTTTATATTTTTTCAATGATAGATATAATATTAAATAAATTAAAATTTATAACTTATTAATTAGTTTAAATATAATATAAAATTTTAATAAATATATAAAAAAATTTCACTATATAAAAATAAAATCTAAGAAATTTTCTTCAGAAAATTTACTAAAAATATAATTATTAATTTCAACTTTTTACTTTATTTATTATTAATAAAAGCTTCAAAGTAAAAAGTGAATTAAAATTTTAAATAGAAAATAAAATTATAGATTTTTAAAAATTAAATAATTTAAATAATTAATTACAGAATTATAAATATAACTAATTTTTTTCTGCTTTTTCTGATGAAAATTGATGTGTTTTTCTTTTTTCTTTTGTCAATTCAAAAGCTCTAGGCAATGACTCTTAGACTGGTGGTGTGTTTACTTTATTAACACGGAGTTCGCCAAGCTACTAAGAAAATTACCAGACTGAAACACAAATCACATCAGCCGTTTACAAGCCCACACTGCGACGCGAAGGCGCGTATTATTATTATAATTTTTATGATGTGGCTTGAGTTATTTCATGATTATTTTTTATTTTTTATCAATCATGACAGAGGAAAGCAGTGCAGTGCAAGTTCAGGCAACAAGGCTGTTTCCTACTCATGTTTTTCTCGGGGTGTGTTGGCTCTTATTATGTGTGCAGCCCAGATACATGTATGTACTCCGTACATACATGTATAGTACCGTACTGTACTGAGATGATACGATGGCAGGTTGAAGGTGGTACGCCCTTGAAAAACGAACGCGTGGAGCCGTTTTTTTTTGCAAGGTTACTCGCATCGAGCAAAAGAGGATCGCAGGGCAGGCACACAAGCCTCGAACGGAATAATGGAGAATTGAGGTACGGTACGGAGTACATACATTGAGATACATGGCGCGCATTAGCCCTTGATGATATATCTATCACCTTCCAAGGCCTCTTCTTTTGAGGGTGGGGGGGGTGGTTGACTGATCGCGATCTTTTTTCTTTTTCGGCAAGCTGCTCGTGCTGTCGAGTCCAAACGGATTTATATATGTCTCTTCCCCTCTCCCCTGCAGCTTGTGTGCCCCTTTGAAGAATCAATGAATGAATAAAATTAAAAAAAGAGCTGCTACGAACAATCCGCTTGGCGGGTTGTAAAAAAAAAATACGGATTACATTGGCAATCGAATACGGGTACATACCGTGTACCCAAGAGGTGCCCTGGCTGGGACCACAACACGCGTTTTCTTACGGAAAGTTACCGTCCGGCCAGCGAATCAGTGAACAAGGACGACAAGGACAAGACAATTATTATTATTATTATTAATTAAGTTCATAACGCAGACGTGCCTGAAAAAGTTCTCCAGCTTCGATTCAGGCTCAAAACTTCGTCAGTCAACTCTCTCTCTCTCTCTTGTCTTTTCCTCACCTTCATTATTCTCTTCACGCTCCACGCCTCAAGCGGCATGGTTCGAGTTTGTGTCATCTGGTTGCGTGGGGTAAGGTGAACCACGGTTGATACAAAAGAGTTGATACAAAAGAGGTAACTTTCAGGCACGAGCTTCCAATTTTGCCAAACTCAATCATAATAATAATAATAAACAATAACAATAAACAACAACAACAACAACAACCAAAAAAAAGACACCATGTATCAGATCCAGCTCTGACAGGTGAAACTTGTGTGTTGTGCGCACCACCCACCCTGCATCAAAACCTGATTTTTCTTCCTTTTTTCTTCTTTTCTTCCTCGTGGTTAAGAGCTAAGTCATCTAGGTAGGGCAGGGGAAGGGGATTGGCATGGGTTAGTTAAACGAAATGCGACAGAACAGTCTCGCCTGGGACCTTGTGTTCCTGGGAGGTTCTTTGGGCCAGGAAGCCAAAAACATCCCTCCCTCCCATTACGGATTACTTGAAGATCGAACGGGGGGATTTGGCTCAGGAAAACGGGCAGGCCCTATGCTGGACCAACGCCTCCCCTGCAAATCATCAGAAATAATAAAATTGGCCCTGTCAGATAATCGACAAGGTCGCGCTGACAGGCCGCTGATAATAGATAATAAATAGGTTAATATCCGGAGAAACCAACATAGCAATGGAAAGAATAATAAAATATGCATCGTGTGCAGTAACTGGTAATACCAATACTAGCCATGCTCTGTAATGTCCATCTGGCTGGCGTCCATTGTTCTTTTGTCTGGGAAAAAAAAAGCGAAAACATTTCAACAGTGCATTTGGCACGGATGATACGCATTGACAACGCCAACACCAGCCTGCGACGAACATGTCGCTCTTTGGACGACGCGCTGTCCCGTACGGTCCGTACCTTGAATTATATTATTATTATTATTATTAACTTTGAATGATCGCGTATCAGCTTAGCGGGCGAGCAGGGTACCTAGGGACTCGAAAAAAAAAAAAAAACAAGCCTAGTAACAAGCCTCAGTACGCGGTTGGTTTACTGGGGCCGCCTCTCGGTGGGAGCTCTTGTAACTCGTTGTAACTTGCCGGAGTTAGTCCTTGTTGGAGCCTTGTTGGAGACAAGGGCATCGATAGTCTGATCTCCACCACCGGACCGGCAGCCCCCGTCGTTGGGAGCGAGCTTGTCACGTTTCCAGGGGCTGGTGTTGTCGCAGAGCAGCGAGAAATAATAATCCATAATCCCCAGCAGCAGCAGCAGCAGCAGCAAGACCAGACTGACTTCCCAAGCCCAAGAAGAACAGCCAGAGAAGCTAGAGAGGAACCCGCTAGAGGAAGCCAGTGGCCGCTCCTTTCATTTAGCGGCTTGCCCATTCCAGCGGATCCGCTCCCGTCGCTCTGGTCAGAGAGAGAGAGAGAGAGAGAGGAGAAGAAGAAGACGAAGAAGACGAAGGAGAAGAAGCAGCAGCATGGTGTGGTGTGGTGGTGTGGTTTGTCTTCCTCCCTTTCGTGCCCAACCACTGGCCGACCTCATTATTTCACCCCATCCCATCTCACCTCATCATTTCATCTCTTCCTCCTCCCTCTCCTTGACTCTTCTTCCCTCTCCACCTCTCTCTGTTCCTCTCTCTTCCACTCTCTCTCTCTCTCTCCCTCCCCCAATCCACCCCTTTCAGTCCTCCTGCATTCTCTCCCGCGTCTCTTCCTCCTCCTCACTGTTCCTCTTCTGCGTTCTTGATTCTCTCTTTTCATCTATCTACCCGTAATAAACCCCCCTCCCCACCTGCCTCATCCCTACATACCTTAGGTTCCTGCAGCCATCCTACCGTCTACCCTACCCTCGCGTTCCGGTTGGGAGAACATGGTCTCATCTTGCCTCTCCTACCCGTCCTCTCCCCAATCATCACAGTCACTCGTTTACCCCCTCCGTCGTTGAAAGAGGAAAAAAAGAAAAGTTACCGTTTGCTTGGCCTGTGGGATCAAGGATCTGTGTATCCGCCTCAGCTTCCACTTTATACCGCACTGCAATCACCCTCAAGAATGCTTACATCGTACCCTTTCCATTATTAATTTATTTTTATCATTATTAATCGCTCTCAACAACCCGCCGCACATACACATACATACGTTGCATTTTACAAACAGCTTTGAAAAGGGAGGGTGCTGTTGCGTCTGGGTTTCAGGGAGCGTGCCTTTGAAGGTATGGTTTTATCGGTCGTCGCCCGCCCCCTCCTTTTCCTAGCTGGACGTGTTTTAACTCCAGCTTTACTACTTCATGGGCTCTATATACTAATCTTACTTGCCCCTCGTCGCGTATGGAGGAACAGGGTTCGCCAATTTGAAAAAAACCTATCTATCCATAATATATCTGCGGGCAGAAAACCAAACATATACACACACAAAATGACAGTTACCTATGATCAATCGTACCGGAACTCCAATATGGGAACCGCTACGCTCGAAGAAAAGTTTGAGGTGATGAAGGAGATTGGGGATGGAAGCTTTGGGAGCGTCGTGCTCGCTAGAACGCGGACGGCTGGGTCCCACGTCGCGAGGAGGGGGACAATGGTGAGCGATATCCACCTTTCGTTTTTTCTGCATAACTTAGTTGATAATTCTACCTGCACCCCGGGAAAATTGAATCGATCTGACTTAGTTTGTTTTACTACAATGGTAGATCGCGATCAAGACGATGAAGAAGACCTTCGAATCCTTTTCGTCATGTCTAGAGTTGCGAGAAGTCATCTTCCTACGAACCCTTCCACATCACCCCCATCTCGTCCCTGCTCTCGACATTTTCCTCGATCCCATGAGCAAGAAATTACATATATGCATGGAGTATATGGATGGGAATCTTTATCAATTGATGAAGGCCCGGGAGCAGAAATGTCTCGATTCAAAGACCGTGAAGAGCATATTATTCCAAATTCTGTCCGGATTGGATCATATCCACGCGCATAACTTCTTTCATCGAGATATCAAGCCCGAGAACATATTGGTTTCGAGTACTGGTTCTGGTGACTCATCTGCGTTCAGCCGATTTACTCCTCCGTCAACACCATCGACTTTCACTGTGAAAATTGCTGATTTCGGACTCGCCCGCGAAACTCATTCGTCAGTCCCGTACACGACGTATGTTTCGACGCGATGGTATCGTGCGCCAGAAGTCCTGTTGCGGGCAGGTGAATACTCTGCCCCAGTGGATATGTGGGCTGTTGGAGCAATGGCAGTGGAAATCGCTACTTTGAAACCTCTCTTCCCCGGTCGGAATGAAGTCGATCAAGTTTGGCGTGTTTGTGAGATCATGGGGAGCCCCGGTAACTGGTATAGTAAGTCAGGGAATAAGGTTGGTGGCGGGGAATGGAGAGAGGGCGCCAGACTAGCTCAAAAATTGGGTTTTTCATTCCCAAAGGTAATGCAGAAAACCATATCTACTTGAATCAATGAATTGTTTTGATTATTTGGGAGTCTCAGATTTACTAATTGCACGTTTAGATGGCACCCCATTCCATGGAGAGCATTCTCCAGCCTCCACACTGGCCAATCGCGTTTAGCAATTTTGTGACTTGGTGCCTGATGTGGGATCCCAAGAGCCGACCAACATCATCTCAGGCTTTGAACCACGAGTACTTCGTTGACGCAATTGACCCACTTCGCCCAAAATCCTCCCGCCTGCTTGGCCGGAAACAATCTGACCGGAGCTTCAAGTCAGGTGCACGGGATGCCAACGATTCTCCTGCTCTGTCGGCGAAAGCGTCCTGGTTCCGAAGATCGTTGATTGGACGGGACAGCCCTGCACCTGTGCTTGAGGAGGACGAAGGCCATAGAGTCCCAGTGGTGCCCCATAATGCTGCTCCGGACGTGCAGGCCACTAAACCTAAGCCGGCTGCAAGCAAACGTGCTACGTGGACAAATGGCGCACCCATGCCAATTCTTCCATCCATTCGTCCAGTATCCCCCTTATCTAATGCTGTTACCGCACAGGCTAACTCCAGGATATCCCACGCCAACGATGGAGCTACTGCAAATCATGTCGACAACAGCAAAAATTCCAACAAGAAGATTGGTCGACAGCTGTCTGTGAACTCGAACGGTAACCATTACTCAGATATCCATCGGCAAGAAGCAGAGAGAGCACTTAACGGCGGGGGCTTACCAACCCCCGCGAGTGCTACGAAAGAAAGTTTCTTTTCTCACCTTCGAAAACGCGCGCGCAGACTATCTGGCCGGAACCAAGGAACGTCGAATAACAACAATAACAACCACCCCGACGATGTCGAGGCCAATGCTGGATGCGTGCCCTGGTCAAATCGATCCTCGATGGCCCTAGATTCGGTGAATCTTGCGGACCAAAAGCCTGGTGCTGATTTCGCGGAGTTGGATAAGGCCCTACAAAATGTGCGATATAGCCTGGATATTTCATCACCCAGCCTGCCCACCCACCTTGCCTCACCGACCACTTCTACCAATAATACCCCATCAAACCGACAGTCGATGCCACAAGGACAGTATGTACGTACTGCGGAGAATTATACGTCTAACCCAACTTCAGGTCCGATTTCCAGCCGGACACGGCGAGCGCTTCAACTCTCTACCCACCCGGTTAATCGATATGAGACACCCGAGGAGGAAGACGAACTACTTCACGAGGTTCTCCATTCCACCACCAAGGCTGCCAGACACCTTGGTCAGCGATCAGTAACCATGGACGATATGACCCGCGATGAGATCTTCCAGAAGGGAAATTACCAATCGATCCGTGCAATCAATCCTAGCAGCCCTGTATCGAATCCGTACCCGACCCCTTCGCCCTCTGCCAAGTGTGATGGAGCGTTCTTCAGACCGGAAACGCTGACGCCGTCGAAGCCACTGAGAATGAACAAGCCAGATATCAACACCAACAAGCACAACGATTCGACACGCCAATGGCCCACCCCTCCGTACGATGAACACCAGTGGGCTGAATCTGCCGCAGAAAGTATCTTTGCCGCCACAGGATCTACTTTCCGGTAAATTTCTCTCACCGACGAATGTTTCGTTTTTCTTTCCTTCATCTGGATGATAAATGGCTTTAATTATTTTTTAAAATTTTTTCTGCTATTGCGGCTACGCTCTCGGCTTCTCTCCCAAACACCACAAGGTTCCATTCATTTCTTCGCCATTCCTCCTTCTCTGCGGGTTAAAATTTCTGCTATAAATTTCTTCGCCTCTCCTTTGCTTTAGCCTTATACTGTGATTCCGGTTTGGCGTCAGGCCAAGGGCCTTATCATATATTTCCTTTTAATTTTCCCTTTTTCTACCAGGCGACGCCAGCCACTCCTCTCAACATTATTACCAGCAGCATTTGCTCTCTATTGCTCTTATTGCAACTTGATATCACTTTGGCGGATTAAGGCTTTTTTTTACTCATCTTTCCTTTCTTACTGGACTGGGACTCAACTGATTTGCACTACCATTTCTTTTGCTTACTCAAACGGCCATGAGTTTTGCTGGGTTTCTTAAATTTATTATCATTTACTGTGCTTTCCCTTTTCTTACTTCATACCCCCCCGGCCATATTTTTATTAGAGACTTTTACCCTGGCCTTGTTGTTTTTGACTTCGCATTTATTATTATTTATTCTTTTTATACGTCATTTACATTTTGTTTTTACGTACCCTAGTACTTGTTCTAATACCCACAACCACAAATACTCTTCTTGCTTCGATATCTTTTCTTTTCTTTTCTTTCCCTTTTTAACTCTTCTTTCCCTCCTTTCCTCTTTATACGCGCTTCATATATTCACATATATAACCCACCCGACCGCGCAAGACGCGATGTCTCCTATGTTTTTTTTTCTCTCTTTCGTTGTTCCTCTCATTCCTTAAATCTCCGTTTTGGCGTGGCCCCTGTTTGCTTATTTTTGAGCTAGGTCATCTCGTATCACTCCAGATGCGTACCCTCTCCCCAACCTCGCCTACGAGCCAATAGCTCGTACTAGCACAGTCCTCTTTCCTAACTCTCTTTTGTTTTATCTAGTTTCTTTTACCTGTTTCTTCTATACTTTCGCTTCCCTCTTACATGTACAATCATTCTATAGTTTTAACTTTGTTTTAGCATCGCCGCCTCTGCCACATTTTATATGGATGCTATGTTTTTTCCACCTATTTCATTTTATTTTATTGTTTCAATTTTATAGAACGCCTCTTAATCCTAACCTATCATACCTAACCTCACTCAAACCCTGTTTCTTCCTACTTTTCATTTGGTTGACCTTCCATTAGTCCATCTCCTTATTGACCTGCCTCTCGTATACTCAACCTACCCAAACCCAACCACCGTCTAACCTGATTTTCACTTTTCACGCTTCTCATGATCGTTATGTCTCTGTTAACCACTCTTCATCCTCCAGAGTTATCGACCTTACAGCCCCTGGTCACAGCCCCTGGTCAATAACAAGGTATGAAAGGAAAGGGAGAACGCATACGAACATGAAATAAATTGGGAGTTGATTAGTGTTGAAGGGTTTGAGTTGAAGTTAGGTTAGGTTAGAGGGATTCAGAAATGGCTCGAGTTCTCCTGTTTCATCTCTTCCCTTTCTTTCCGTGTGTTTCGCGTTCCCGTTTCTCTCCTTTTCTTTCTTTTCTCCTCTCCCTTTTTTTTTTGCCCCACACGGTGTTTCCGACTTTTTCAATTTTCATTTGCGCTTTTTTTCCCCTTCTTCCCTCCCCCCGGGGGGCCACTCTGTACAGTACACTCCAGCAAACCTATAGAATTTCATATAAACAGTTCGAATACGCAAGAAATAAATGTCTTAAATATCAAATATACATTTCTCCATATTTCTGCTCACTTAATTGGTTATAGAAGTGTCGTGGGGGTACGTTTAATTATCATTTACAGTAGTCACATCCTCCCCTGTTGATCACGGTGTAAAATTGTTAAATATGGAAATAGTTCCTTGAGCTCAAATCACTTGCTAGATTTTCAGATGTACAACTTATAATTATTTTGCCTAGGGAATCGTGGTTCAAGTATCGAGATCGGAACAATATATTTTCCGCTACCAGAGAGCTTTCTTCCAACTCCAAATCTGAAGCTTCGCAATATCAAACTCAATTCGACGAAAATCTACAGCCCAGCTATTTTATTGACCTTGGGGCTATTACTTTGATATACACATTAAACAGCTCTAATATCAAGAACAAGACCCATTCAACTGTATGACTATATGAGAAAAATAACCACATTTTTATAGTTTCATTAGAAATTATTTTAAATATCTCCGTCCCGCGCGCAGGGGACAAAGTTTCCGCCCACAGACTGAAAAAACACACACCCATCCACCCGCAGCGCATAGCGCAAAGCGCAAGGCGCGCAGTTTCCTCATAACCGCCGCACACACACATACTCACACACTTACACACACACACACGCATGACGACAATGGCAACCGCCACCGCCACCAGCACCTACTCCTCCTCCACCGCGCAGATCCCCTCCCTCTCCCCCGCCGAGCTCTCCTACCTGCACACCTCCCTCTCGTACCCGCGCAACCCCGTCCGCACGGATGGGCGCTCCGCAACGCAGTTCCGCCCGCTGACGGCCGAGACGGATATTTTGCCGGGCGCCAATGGGAGTGCGCGGATCGGGTTTGCGGACGGGACGCAGGCGATTGTGGGGGTGAAGGCGGAGGTGGAGAGGACGGTTGTTGGGGGGGTTTTGGATCGGGAGGGGGGCGATGTGGTGGGGGAGGGGGAAGGAGAGGGCAAAGCGGGCGGAAAGAGCAGGGGGCGGGGCGGGGAGAGTTCGTGGGTGGAGATGTCGATTGAGATTCCTGGGTTGAGGGATGATGATGCGCTGCCTGTTTTTTTGGCGGAGATGATGAGGGAGGCGTTGATGGTTTCTGGGTCTGGGGAGGGTGATGGGGATGCGGATGGCTCTGGGGGTGGTGAAGGGATGCCGCAAGGGTTGAAGGGGCGGTTGGTTATTAATGGCGGGTGGCATTGGAGGATTTATATTGATGTGAGGATTTTGCTTTACTGCTCTCCTTTTTTTTTTTTTTTTTTCCCACGTCCTTGTCCTGTGGTGGTGTTCCATCCAATATAGTTTATTTATATGCTAACGTCTACATAGATTCTCCTCCTCTCCCCGCCGCTCTCGTATCCCCTCCCCCTCCTCTCCCTAACAACCCATCTCGCCCTCCTATCCACAAAGCTACCCCGCCTCATCTCCAAGGACGAAGAGGACCCCATGTTCGATGACGACTGGGCTGCCGCGGAGTACCTATACCCGCGACGCCCGTCGCAGCCGCAGAAGCAACAGCAGCACAGAAAAGCAGCATCAGCATCAGCAACAAATACATCGACATCGGCAACACCACACCTCCACCCCTTCCGGCCCCCGGTAACCCTCCTCGTAATCTCCGTCGGCGACAATATAATCTTCGACCCCAGTCGCGAAGAAATTGCCGTCGCGGAAGCCGTGCTAGCCGTCTCCGTCGGGCGCGATACCTCCACCACCACCACCACCACCACCACCGAAAACCAAAACGGACCTCCAACCAGCAACCCACTAAAACTGCTCTCCATCCGCACTATCGACCCGCCCTCCCGCCTCACGAACCCAGGGATCCCGAATTCAGAAAACGCAGCGACGATTGGGTTTGCGGCTGGTGGTGCTGGTCAGAATGAGACGACGAGTACGAGCGTGGCCATGGCGGGGGCAGCGGTTGATACCGGGGAAGATGTGGCTGGTGTTTGGAGGCCGAGGCGGGGCGGGGTGAAGAGGGGAGTTGTTTCGAGGATTGTGGAGATGGTGCTGAAGAAGGGTGGGGTTGGAGAGGAGGTTATGGAGGGATTGGAGGGGGTGGAGGTTGGGTGAATTCTCTTGGTTTCTTGGATGGCTAGTTTACGGGCGTTAAGGGGTGTTCAGACTTCTCCTGTTGTTTTTTTTTTTTTTTTTTTTTTTTTTTTTTTTTTTTATAGATTTTCAATTGGCTGATTCATTTATTGTACTGTACGTACCTCGTTATCGGGTTGATTAAAATAATAGAGGGAGAAATCGGGTGAATCATGTAAATAATTCGATTTGGCTACGTTAGTTATTTTATGTGTATATCCCCGTGCTTGTAGGATAATAGGAACTATAAAGGATTCTATGGAATGGTTAAGTTGGCTTTTGAGATATAGGTATTTATCTAATAATGGGAGTACAGTATAATTAACTATGCAAAATAAGGAGCTTAGAGGTCAGAGATGTCCATCCGACGACAAATCTATTCTATGTATACATGTCCCATTCATTTAAATGTAATACCATGCCACAGTAAGTACGGGTATCGTACGAAGATATATGAAAATCAGATAAATAATATACAGTTCTCCTCCGCAGGGACCAGCAACAAAATATGAGATTTATTCAAGACCCACGTAACAGCCCAGTTAGTCCACCCATCCAACCACAAAACCCAAATTACCTCACCTCACCAAATACCCAGCCACTTCTTAATCGGCCTCCTTCGCTCCCGCACCACCCCATCCTCTTCATTCTCGCCATCAACTCCATCCACGGTAAGCTGCCCATCAGCAGCGGCAGCAGTAGCAACATCTCCCTCCACCACCTCCTCCCCTTCCTCCTTCTTCTCCAACCCATGCGCCTGTCTATACGCCCTCCGCTTCTCCACATCATCAATCTTCTTCTTCCTCTTCTCCGCCGTCTCCAGCGTTTGATGATCTGCATGCATCTTCAAGACCGCCAGCACCTGCGAGATGGTGTCGATGGGATGTGTGAGTAGCTGCGACCAGGGCGGCAGCAGGTGCGCGAAGGGCGAGGTGTGTTTGAAATTTGTGGAGAAGGTGAATGTTGCGAGGGAGAGGAGGACAGACTTTTTTTTTTTTTTTTTTTTTCGCGTTGTGAAAATTTAGCATGAGTGCTTGCTTGTGGAGGTTGTTTTGTGCGGGAATAGATGTGTATGTATGTATGTATGTATGTATGTATGTATGTATGTACTCACCATTGAAATCCAAACATGAATTCCCCGACTCGTCAGAAACTTATGCATCACTGTTCCTTCCGGCGGGAACATGTGCGGATACCGCTTCGTCTTCTTCTCTGCCAGCTCCGCCTCGGAGAGACGGGGTCCCGGATAGTTGCGCGGCTGCTGTGCGCTGCGCGCGTTCATCACTCGTCGTGCTGGGTGGGATGGGGGCCGGAAGCGGTCTGGCTTCTCTAGAACGCGGGCAGCGGAGGGCTTGGTTGATTTTGATGTAGATTTTAGCCGGAGCCCGGATGGGGGTGCTTGTAGTGAGCCTTGCCGAGGGCGCGCATTGCGGGATGCGAAGAACAGGAGGGTTCGTTTTGAGATACCTCTTGGCAGTAGAAAGGGCGGGATCAAAGGTTGGGAGGCCATTGTGTGATGCACGAGATGTACGGAGGGGATTTGGTGGCCGTGGTGGATAGGGTTGTGGTTGTGGTGGTTGTGGTTTTGGTTTTGGTATTATTTTTGCTTTTTTGCTGGGTTGAGGAGGAAGAAGTTGGCGATGAAGATCTCGAATTGGGTTTCGAGGATGTCACGTGGTCCTCCATCCAGGGTAGGTAAGGGTGCGGAGACCAGTCCAACATTATTATTATTGTTGCGGATGTTCCTGCGGACGATAGCTCTCTTTTTTATTTAAGCTCCCAGTGGAGTTGGGGTATGGAGATAGAGAGAGAGATATTACTGAGTAGCTTGGACTGTGGTGATATTGTTTTCTATCAAAAGAGGCTGGAAGAACTACCAACATCAAACGGGGGATTGGCTTTGGCTATATGTCACAACCAATTTCTCGAAGGATGGATATTGCACCTATCAAAACGCCTGCAGCATAACCATGGATAACCTTCGGATGACTAACAGTGATCGGTGCGCGGATGGCAAAGAAAGAATAATAGAGGGTTTCGTAGATATTGATTGATATTGAATTGAAGTGGGCTATCTTTCACTCGATATCTCACAGACAAGATCCCCAAGACCTCACTTTGACTCTGATGAGTATAGTATTTGCTCCCTTAAATGGCGATACTCACTTGGATATCCTTTTGAGCGGCAGTCGACCGTGATCAATCATATCGACTCCGTTCTTTCAAGCAACAACAACTCAACTTGCGATGGAGCAGATAATTTCGCTGATGTCATCTTTTCCCACCATACCCGTCTTGGCACGCCAAGCATATGTCACGTGAAATCCACGTGGTGAGATGACTAAACCTCCGAGATCCCCCGATGACCCGGATAACACGGAAGCTGATTGGCCAATCAGCGCTGCTGACCAATCACAGATCGGGGAAAAGCGATTGGGGATCCTGTTTGCGGTTTAGTGCGTCATCGCCAAGCCTGCGACCAGTTTGCGCCTCAAAATTGGTGGAACTTGTCGAATCTTGCACCCAAAAGGGACGGGGCGGGAAAAAAAAAAAATCTATCTTCAACTCCCGGGTTTCCGTACTTCTTTTTTCCTCTCTGTCTCTCTCTCTTTTTTTTCTCTCTCCTTATACCAACAACCATATCACCCCCAATTGATCAGGACTCCCTCCCTCTCTCTCTCTCTCTCTCTCTCTCTCTCTCTGTACATTATCTCCTTTCGTGTATTATTAGCATAGACCCTGTTCTTTTCACCACATTCACAATGAGCTTCTCTCCAGGTATGTTATTTCCTCGCAAATCCCGCTTGCCTCTGCCCGAGTTTGTCGGTAGCTCCTTCAATGAATTCGGCCTGTTCGACGTCTTCTCCTCCTGCCGCTTCTGGTTGTGGTGGTGACGATATTGCCGGTGGTCTCACTGTCTGGTGGCGTTTGTTGTTCGATCTCTGCATTCTCAAATCTGCCATTTATCCTCATTCATTGTTGCAGTTGTCCTGCGTTACATCCTGAACTCCTCAGACCTAAAACATAAACATAAACATAAACCCACTGAACAGCTTTACCTGCACTCCTTTACAAAGCCCTTAAGAGGCAGAGACACACGTTCTCTACATACTGCAACGGCACACCAGCAAAACAACCCACTTGTGTGCTGGTGGAATGTCTTCCCACGCGCCTTATCCCTCCTTGAATCAGCTCTCCTCTCGCGCAATCACTTCTGTTCTCTCCGTCTTGCACGACTACATCCTTCCTGTGCCCCATAACATCTCCAAGCATATCCGCCAGCAATTTTTCCATCCGCACCCTTCCCCTTCCAGCAGGCGCAGAAAGCAGACCACCAGCAACCATGAGTGTAATGACAGCGGCAGTGTGGATGTCATACGCAATCGAGGAGCAGGAGGCAGAAAACGAAGAACGCGAACGCAGGAGACGGCAAGCAGGGCGTCAGCTGCTGCAGACTGCTAATCAATATCCTTTTTCTTCTTGTTCAGGTGACGCCGCTAAGGGTGCTGGTCTCTTCAAGGTACGTGGATTCATATCCCTTGTAAAAATTTATTCATTCATCTATACATCTATATATCTGTAGAATACGGCTGACATGGAGTGTTATAAACTGTAGACTCGCTGCGCTCAATGCCACACCCTCGAAGAAGGTGGTGCCAACAAGATCGGTCCCAACTTGCACGGACTTTTTGGCCGCAAGAGTGGCCAGGTTGAGGGATACGCCTACACCGATGCCAACAAACAGAAAGGCGTTGTATGGGATGAGAACACTCTGGTATGTATTCGTCCCTAGTTTTGCTTACATCTATATGTATATATTTATGTATGGAACACAACTGACGCGCCTCGTGGCAAATAGTTCGCCTACCTCGAAAACCCCAAGAAGTATATTCCCGGTACCAAGATGGCCTTTGGTGGTCTCAAGAAGGCCAAGGACCGCAACGACCTGATCACGTACGTGTTCCTTTTGTACAACCCTTAGGTGTTTTTTTTTTTTTTTTTTTTTTTTTTTTTTTTGCTAGGGCCCGATGTCTTGTTATATCCGCTTTTATACAAATGCTAATCAAATACTCACTCCCTTTACACAATTTAGCTACATGAAAAACGAGACCAAATAAAGAAATCCATAGCTCTCGCCCTCGATTAATGCCCCTCCCTCTACCTCTTCTCCTCCGCCCTATCCTTACCTAAAAGAATACCTTTTCCCTGACGACCTCCCAAAAACACACCCATTTGTACATTTTATAGAGACCTTTTTTCCTCAATACAGTTAGCGTTTTCCCCGCCAACTCATGAAAAACACCCACCCCTCTCCATCTCATAAACTAGTGCAGCCCAGCCTTGTCCAGTCCAGCCCTTTGAAGCTCAGCTCAAAAGAGAAGTAAAAAATACCCCTCTGTGTTTTTCATGAGACGCAGTTTGATTTTCTAAGTGAAAATTGTGGGAGATTTTGTGGAGGGCCTCTGAAATTTTTTTGTCCCTCTCTCAAGAGGTGACTGGCTGGCTGACTTGGCTGGCTGACTTTCCTTTACTTCAAAAAGACTTGTAATAATACAACAACTGTTTCTCTCTCTCTTTTTTTTTTTTTTTTTTTTTTTTTTTTTTTTTTTTTTTTTTTCTGCTGTTATTTTTCTTCTTAAGGACTGCATAGATTTGTTCTTGCATGTTGGCCCCTTTGGACCTGATAAGATGCTCGTTAAGGCACTTGACTGAACGGAATATCTCCTATCCTTGTTATAAATCTTATTATTAGTCGTCTTAGACAAATGTTTTATGCGGATAGTTTCATTCTCCAGTATCTCTCTTCTCCTGACTGGTCATATTATATGTGTCTGCGTCGGTGGTGGTGGTGCTTGCTTTTCTCTTAGGGTGTGGGTTGAGCCAAATACTCCATCTACGGGTCTTATACACATACATACAGACTGATTTTGATTTTACCATTAAGAAAGGATATAGTTATAATTGGGGGAAATTTTGCTGCGTTTCTTCTACATGACGCTCCAAATCTTCCCGTCTCTCTTCTTTCCGAACCTTCTTTCCTCCTTCTCCCGTCTCCCTCCTTGACCCGCTATGATTCCTAACTTGACTCGACCGACTCGTTTGATTCCGACGCTACGACGCTAGGCTTCACCGAATATGCTGTGAGTTGTGAGTGCCTGTGGATATGCATATTTATTACACCGCACATGTGAGTATTGTGATAAAAGATTGATAGTTAAATGAATCGATGATGTCATATGGCATTGAGTGGCATCGCGCGAGCAGTAAGTATGCTATGCGCGATCATTCATACGCTCACGTTTACGGCGCACGATTGCGCCGGTTATACATCTTTCTTCCTTTGTGTGTGTGGGGGGGATACGGCCATTCTTTGTCATGTTATGCTACAAGTATGTTATGCTATACTACGCCGTGCTGCTGAAAGGAAGAAAGGGGGGACGTTGCTCGTGCCCTCCCTGTGTTTACCTCTGCGAAGCCCATGGTTTTGATCCAGAGGTCTGTAATTGATTGAGGAAATTGGGCGGTTTGATATCAGATCGCAATGTATGTATGCCAAATGGACACAGAAGTTGTGGGAGTTTCGTATAGCCGATACGGCGAAAAGCTTCATGCATGGAGAATATTGTGCACAAGTAGAAGCGCGAATTTCGCTGCGGCAGGATCCGATTGCTTTGTCCTATGCAAGTTCTTACCTTGCTTGCTAAGGGGTTTTCGAATTAGAGTACGAGTTATCAAGATCTGGAAATGATCGAAAAAGTCATAGATGGATAAGGCATCCGTCTTTCCCTTTGTCGATTACCTCCCGGAATGGGGAGGTAGCGATGCCGGTACAAGAGACGGCGGAAAGGGATTTCATCGACTGCACAGCCGTCTTCCCAGGGAGGACTGTTTGCCATTGGAAGCAAAACGTGGAAGCACTGATCTGGTCCCTGTCATACTTTAATGTAAGTGATTGCGCTGTGTACGTACTCTCATGACTTCCACAAAGCAGGAAGCTTGCCTGGACATTCAAGAATAGGACAATATCCAGAGTCGGACATGCAACCCAATTTTGATATTGAGTTGGAATAGAGGGCTTGCTACATGCCACCTAAAACGAGTCGCGGGCTTGAAGTTGGTTCTGGGAAGAATACCATGAGATATATGCAGTTTCACGAACCGCAAAGGGAAACTCGACTAGATCTCGATGTCTATCCACTATAGATTTGATGCAGCACAAGATCTACAGCCCAGATACCACAAAATAGAGAGGGCGGTTGCAAAAGCCGATGAACTAGTTGGATTTGATTGAGATATCGGGGGCAAGATGGAACGTTTTATTACAGCATTGGCCATGCGCCGCGATTCCATGGCCTTTACATTTCGAACGTCACGCGTCCCGAAAGCGAGTTGCTTGGCTACAGGCGGACTTTTATTGACACATAAATATATGTATATATATATATATGTATATCCGCGGAAGCTTTAAGTTGATTTGTTGACGCATTCCAGCTTTTGTTTCACAAACCTTCGGTTCTCCAAGGTCGGGTTTTACGAATGGAAGAATTTTATTGAGAGAGCGTCAGTGGATCGATTCCATGGTGGTGATGCTGTGGGTACACTGGATTCAGGGAATAAGGGGGATGGATCCTTTATCGTGAAGCATTTCATGCCTCTCTATCAACCAACGCAACAAGATCTTTTTTGACGTAAGTGGTTCCAGTTATACAGAGTTTATTTACGCCAGGTGTCCCTGAATTAATCCAGATTGTTCGGCACAAGTGGTGATGTGGGTTTTCCTTCCTCGAGTTCTCTTCCTCCTTTTGAACATTACAGCGAAGATGGATGTGGTGGGCGGGAGTATATAAAGAGACTCTCAATTTCCCTTAGATATTGCATTCGTTTAAAATTTTGAAATTGCCATTCCTAAGTTTTTCTATGCTCAGACTTGCAATATCTTGAAAAAAAAGTAAGTAATGCATTTCAATGCTCCTCCAGAAATGAAAAGTACATGTATATCAAATACATATAGCTACACCCCCTGTCCCTGATAAGCCGTATAGCAAAAACATGACACAGCCTACCATTTTAGGGATCCAAGAGATTCAACAAACTGGTATCAATTACACCGTGAACCATGAAGCTCCTCCCAATTCTGGTCATGGCCATTGTCACCGTCGTCGCCGCCTTTCCAGCACCGGGCCCTGAAGAACAACGCAAGAGGCCACCAAAGAAATGCGCTGGTTTCGGTGAATCATGCTCCAAAAAAATATGCTGTGGTGGATATAAGTGTCAAGATGGCGTAGGTTTAGCCCTGGGCTATATCTTACACATATATCCGTTCGAATACTGACGTGCCGTATAACCAACAGGGCAAAGAACTTATCTGTCTGCCGGGATGAGCATAAAAGATGCGAATCGCCTCGAATATGACAGAGGTATGAGATAACAAATGATTTCTGGGTTCAGTCGGCTTGGACGGTAACAAGGGGGAGGCGGGAAGGGGACGAGAAAGGGGGATAAATGGATTGAACGAAGTTAGATGAAAATGACGGCTCACTTTTTCCCTTTATTTTGACAGATTTATAGGAGAGAAATAAAATTGAAATACCTGATACCCCTTTTATGTTGTTCCTGCGTTGGTTTATTATATTATATTAGTAGATTCCCCTTCGATTTGCGCGCGTATGAGTGAGTAGAAAGGGGATTGAAAGTCACGCAATGAAAATAGGAGAAAACAAACAAAACAAACAAATACTGAAAAAAAGTGCATTGCTTCGAATGATCTCCTTAGATTATCGACTTCGGGGCTACCGTATTGATCTGCCGGATCGCGAGGTAGAGATAGTCGTGTTGCATTGAAGTATATCTCTCCACTGTTCTCTCGCGGTTGCGAACTCCGCTATATTCTCAAAGATGAGATCGCCTGCCATGCTACCCCAGTAAGCGCTGTGTGGTTGCGTTCGGCGAATAGGCGTAGTACATGTACAGTACATACGCATCGCGCTTACACTGCGTCAAGAAAGTACGAAGATAGTTAGTCGGGAGACTCGTCCGTCGTCTACACCTCGTCTGCTGCGGTGAGTCGATCTCTTTACCGCCTGCAATTGGCACTTTGGTCATTTTCGCTGAATGGCTGTATACCCTGAAGCAATGAAAAAGTGGCGGCCTATAATAAGCACTCTTTATATGTACGCAAGAATCAAAGGGACATCGAAGCGTCTTCATCCCAGCATATGCAGAGGAGTTATGCTGCGAATAAGCCTGCGCATACATAAACACGGTGCTGCCGTACCCTGGAATCGTGGCATGCAGCTGGTCGATCTGGAAGAAAGAAAGAAAGAAGAAGGTAATCACAACGCTCTGCAATGTCATGTCCTGTACTCTGTACACGTGCAGAAATTAGAAGGGATGAGCATTTTGATCGGTGGAACTGGCCTAGCGACATCTACGCACAAATTATTATATCGTTAGGCGACGATATCAGAAAGAGTGCGAGATAAAAAACCCCCGGAAGACCCCCCCTTTGAACAAGTCTCTTCTTACTCAAAAGAAGAAGCATAGAGGAACTGTGCTTTCCTCGACGGACAAACAGACAGACAGACATAATCATATAAATCGTTTCAGATTAAAACACTTACAACCGAACATCCCAAACAACTCACCGTCCAAGAAGTCCCCAACAATGAAATTACCCCAGATCTCCGTCATCGCCCTCATCCTCAGTGGCGTCGGCGTCCTCGCCTTTCCCTCGTCAGATACCAAAAATAGGAGGGAGGCAGCAGTTTGCTCGGGGGATGGTGGGCCTTGTTACATGGGGAACACAGACCCGGCCAGAGATTGCTGTAAGGGGTTGATGTGCGGTTTCGCTTTCGGAGAACATGTAGGCGTAAGTAAAATCAAGTGTAACCAACACCTCCGCGTGTCTTAGTCGAACACGAAAAGATAGGAGGAGAGAAAAGGGAAAACAGTAAGAGAGGGACTTTTTAGCATTGATGGCTAACTGCGTATATTTGCCCTGGGCTTCATGGGAATGATAGACATGCGGGCCGTCCCCTTTCGAAAAGCGTGACAACGATATCCAGGGAATGCAGCAGCTTCAGAGCGAGTTGGATATCACGTCTCAGACATGTAAAGATCGATATTGCATGAGCGATGAGAGTTGCCCATGCTCCGGATGGTTCTGTGTAAGTAGCTGGCACCTATCGATTGATAAATATCATTTCCCCCCTCTCGGACGAGGAGAGAATGGTGGAAGAATAAACCACGGATCTAATGATGTTCACACATATTAACAATATTGGGATATGTAGAAAACCAAGGGCGGTTTCTGTACAAAAAGAAACAGCCCAACATTACCGCAGAAGCGAGACGCCTTGCCCGGCCCCCAGATGGACGATGACATGCCACCTCTCGGCAAGGAGAAACGTGCTGATGGCTCGTGTGGCTATATGGGGGAGGAATGCATAAACCACGCCTCTTGCTGCCCTGGATATAGGTGTCGAGACAATAAAGAGAGTGGCAAGAAGCTTTGTTCATATTTTTAATCCACCACATTTGGCTCCTGCCATGTTTTTGCACGGGGGTTTGCCAGGGCTTCGGAGCAGGCCATGGGTTTTTCTTTTCTTGGTTATTATCAGAAGAGAAAGTTAGGTTGGTGGATTGAATTTCTGACGGGGAAGTTTCTGTTATTTTTCTTCTTTCTCTTTTCTTTTATCGCTCCGGGGAGGATGGTTATTGTTGTCTTGAATGGCATGTTTCAAAGAAAATATCCAAAAATAATCGTCACTCGTTAGATACACCTAAATAAATTAGGAACAATATCAATATGTACTGAGAAATTTGTTCTGGATAGGCGAAGACGAAAGTGACTCAACTAGATATATAGAGAAATATGTATATATATATTTGTCTTGTGTTTAGATTTTAACCATCTAGCTCGGAGATGTGTGTACCTATGTGGGTATAATTAAATAATGAAGGTGGATGACATGGGGCAGCAGTGTTGTTGTCTGTGTTCGCCGTGCTCCTGGACCCGGTTGTATGTAGAAATCACTTCGGGTATTGAGATCTAGACTAATTTAGTAGTTAATGCTCTATTGTATTTGTTATTCAAGGAATTTTGAGCTTTGCTCAAGGAAAGGCAGAGGAACGAGAGGAAATATTTTAAGACGGTAGGGAGGATAGAGGAAGGAAGTTTAGATTTTATTGTTGCAGCTGGCGAGGTATCAGGAATACGTGGCTCGTGGGTAAAAATATGCTAGGAGAATAAACCTTGTGGGAAGTCAGATATTACCAGATCAGACACTCGTAAATTATAGATCTACTCCGTCAAGTAGCTCTTGTTGTACACATGTTGGGGAGCGAGAGAAAGGGGCTGGCTGAATACTTATTTACGGCGTGTGCAAATTTAGCATGATCAGAAAACCTATATACAATTTGTGGGTAACTATCTAGGATAACCTATTTCCTCACTCAAATGCTGGATCATGCACTCTCGCTTTATAGAACCCCATCCCATTCCCTCCTTTCTTCTCACTCACTTTCTCCCCCACGTTCATACCAAAACTCACCCATCTGCTTACCCACCCGTCCTTCCCCTCTTTCGTAACCCACAGGTACTCCCCACTCTTATGCCTCACAAAACTCTTTATCGCCTTCTCCTCCCTCAGCATGGTCCACTCCGCCGTAGAAATGTCATATGCGTAAGCCCCATACGAATCTGTCGCCAGCAGCACATTTTTATTCGTATAATCTGGCTGCAAATCATGCCCCATGCCACCTTTTCCAGGGAAGGGAATCGAAAAACCCTCCCGTACAAGGCGCATTGCCTTCCCCCGGCCCATGATTTTATATTTTCGCATGTATTTATCGAGGGAAACCCACAGGATCCCCTTCTCAGGATCGTCCGGGGCACCATTGGGGTCCCAGAGTACGCCGTGCGCGCCAGGGGCATCATAATTGACACTGGATCTTTTCAAGTTCTTGAAATCGTTGATTTTCTTAGGATTTCCTGGGTAATAGAGCGTCAATTTTCCCGGGGTCGAACTCGCCACGACAACCGCACCGATGTGGGGGATACGCTCGATGGCGTGTGGGTTGCCGCCCGGCGAGCCTGTCCACAGCAAATCACCCAGGTCGGTTCTCAGATTCTTCTTGGAAACATCGATGATACCTGCGTTGCCACCGGAGGCGCAAACGAGGGCAATCCAGCCGTGAGAAGCGGTCCTTCGGAGTTTGACATCGGAGAGGTTGCTCCAGCCTCTCCTACTTTTGCCGGCCGTGAAACTCCAGTAGAGGTTCGAGGAAGTCCAGGGTTTGTTCCGCGGAAAGACGCGGACGGCATTTGGTGTCTGGTCAACTCCAGCGATGTAGTAGTCCACCGGGGTGGCTGCTAGCAGTGTAGAGAAAAAGGCCACGAGGAGAAGGATGAGAGGTATTGGGGGGTGATGCTTCAACATCTTGATTTATTCTCTGCTTTTTCTAGCTCGACTCGTTTTATCTTGGAAGAGATGGAAGGCAAATATAGAAGTAGGAATGAGCAGGAGGTGGTCATTTATGACGGAAAATGAAAAGCGAGGGGTTGTTGGTCTTTTATATATTCTTGTCCTTACAAGGACGTCTTCAACTGCCAACCCACGATGACACGGCCACATGGATACGCTGACCGGACCAACCGCCAGATGGCCCGCGCTTATGATGATACGAGACCATCCCCCTTTCCTTTTGCTGGCGGGCGAGAGTCGGAGCGGATCTCTGATCAGGAGATAAGACTAGGGCTGTTGTTGTGGCTGTACAGTTGTCTCCTTGACACTTAAAAGGCCGGACAACGAGCATCGCTCAGCGGAAAAACAAAGCCCAGAATGAGTGCAAAAAGGGAACAGCCGCAGCTACAAACCAATGGCCGCACGCTTCGTTCCATTTCCAGGTGCCGTCATGTTGAACGACTCTCTCACGAGAGGACGCGAGAAAACAGAAATATTTTGTTTCTTTAGACTCCGCTTGGAGCCATTATTGATTGCAGTTCAACAACAATGAACAGGCCCGTATGAGACGGTGGACATTGCTGAATCACACAATGGAATACGAGGTCGTTTCATCACGAATGATTTACTGTGTAGATCAAGTTGTAGTTGAAGATTTCCTAAAATAGGCATTGAAAGTCCAAACTGGTTTTCTAGCGAAACGGACTGCGGTCTGGTTTGGAATAAGAGGTTAGTTTGAATTCAATCCAAATTGATGTTTAAATAAAAGCAAAATGCAGAAAAACAGACATGACTAAAACGGGGTTTGCTTGCATACGGTGGATGATTCCGTGTCAAGTTATGCTGTTCGAATGCACATTCTAACGGAAGCTCCTGAGGTCGGAGGCGCAGCGCAGGGATAGATAGCTCCTTACTGCGTAGTTCATGGTTGAAGTTGACAATACCATGCATAGGCCATAACTACTGTTTAACCTTGTTTAAATGAATGATAGTGGATGTGTTGCAGGCTTGGGTTGTGCCCAAACATGCGGAATATCAGAAAACGTCGGTTCAATTCCCAATGCGAGAAGAAAATGATGAGCTTTGCTTTTGATTAGGCCGGGCACACAGATGCATGTTGGGCTAATTAATGTCTCATTCGGAGAGAGGGGTTTACAATTACCTAATTCCTCTTGAGATAAGTTACCCTTGCCGTGTTGTTGTGGATATCTCGATCTAACTGTTTTTATATGCTCCCGGATAAGTATTTATCGGAAGAAATGTCTTCCACAGGATCTGATATATTTAGTTACTCGAAGGGAAATGAGGTCAAAAAAAAAAAAAAAAAAAAAAAAACTCTGAAATCATTTCAAAATATTGCTTCTTATTTTCTTATTTTATTTTATTTTATTTTATTTTATTTTATTTTATTTTATTTTATTTTTTCTTTCCTTTTTATCTATCCCCCTCAATCCGCATTTCATATGCCCTAGCTGCCTCATTGGGACTTTCTTATGCACGTCGCATCCCCGACGATAAAGCTTCCACCCATAAATGATGACATCTGCCAGTCTTTGATGCGGCGGCTATACATTTTCTATAGGCACATTAATGAACACCTCAGGAAACAGTGATATAGAATAGCCCCTCATTCGCTCGTAGGCGTCAGCAACTCGCTCAAAGACTCGGATAGCTGAATCCAGATACCCTGCCTTCATATATATGCGGGTTGAGTGGGCTCGATCGCAATAAGATCTGAATAGCTTTCTCAATATCGCGCCAGGGGCGATAATGGCGGCTACCGCAGTATGTAGCTTTGAAGGTTGTAAATTTCAGCCTGGTTACGCCACATGCAGATGTCGAGGACATTTGATCTGAGGAATCTGGCTTCGGATCGGATGTATGTACAGTCAGTTTGTCCTACGCTTCCTCTGAGGTGTAGTTTTCGCAAGCAAATATTGACACAAAACCTGGTGCTGGATCGCGCTGCCCCATATATGGACTGGGAAACTTCCCTAGAGGTGTGAGAACTTGTCCTGGTCCGCGCTTTTTTTCCATATGCCTTTTCATGGCCGTAAATTGATGCCAATTCCATAGTGGAGTTGCCATTGAACCCCCGAGCGTTCACTCTCATCTGTTTCTTCAATATTTGCACCGTGATCTAGCAACATTCCTACCTAATGATTGCAATGGACGCACTAACAACCGCTGCACGCAGCACTGATCAGCCAGAGTTACGGCTTCACCCTTGCTCCATGCTCAAGCAGAAGAGAAACAGTAGCTACCTCCACTATCCGAATAGCGCCTTGGACACATAATCATTCTTCACATCGGCCCCTCTCTCCAGAAAAAGCTCGACGACAGGCCCGCTATTCAGCTGTGCTGCAGCCACGTCCACCCACGTCATAAAAAAAGCATCTAAAAAAAAGCATCTAAAGTATTCACATCAGCTCCATGATCAAGGGGTAGCTCCACAGTAGCAAGGCGGTTTCCATTTCGCAGCTTTGTGGAGCGCGGTTTTGCCATTGTGGCTGGCAGCGTTCACCAACGCTTCGTGGTCTAGAAGTATCTGCACCGCTGATACCATTCCATTTCTCGCTGCCAGGTGAAGGGCGGTTTAACCCTGGTCATTCTTCGCCTGTGGATCAGCGCCACTTTCAAGAAGGGAGCTTGTGATGGCAAGATAGCCTCTCATAGCTGCTTGGTGTAGGGCTGTAAAGGCAGTACCTGCTTCCCTTCAAACATTTCATCATCATCTATGAGACGGCGAACTGCATTTTCGTCTGCACCTTTAGCAGCATAATATAGAGTCTTAATAAGATCTCTATTTGCTAGTTGTAGAAGGTGATGTATCGAGCCCGGAGGGACGGAAATTGGATGAAATTTGACTCTGTAGGGATGCACTAATCGTGGGGCTGGAGTGTCTAGATTTGGCCGAACGGGACTCCCTTTTATATCGGTGGAAAGTTGCTTGTGTTGGAACCACCTCAATGGTGTGGTAGGTCAGGGTGGTTGAAGGTGGTCTATTCTCAGACTCTGTATACTCAGGAAGGGCGATGATGCTTGCGGCATCATTGGATTGATCTGAGGGTAATGTAGACCCTGATAAAGATTGACTATTCATGATAAAGGTGTTATGTAGTATCCTTCTTGTATGTGGTGTTGTTGTTGGTGGCGGTTACTTTGCAGGTAGCTAGGATTGTTAATGATACAGCAACGCTCAATAATGACGGAAAGGGGATTAAATCTGGTTAATGTGCCCAAGATGCCATATTATCAGCGGAGAGAACGAGGTGCATAACTATCCCCATAAAATGACAAAATGCTGGCTGAGCGAGGATAGTAGCTAATCGCTAAGAAAACTAGCTAATAGAACTCGGTCCAAAGCGAACTTTTCTCCATGTAGTGACCGTGCTCTCCCGTTTTGCCCTTAGTATATTCTTCATGCCTTGAGAGGCGCAGCGAGAACGATCTTCACAAAAGGTCCTCATTATTATAAAGCTTCCATAATGAAGCTGCAAAGACATTGGAAAAGAAGGGAAAAAAGGTTCTTCTTCCCAAACAAAGGTTTAAAACAAAACAACCACCGAATTCTTAACGACCTTCGGTCCCAGCACCGCCGCAAGCTCACCAACAATTCCCTTGATCGACTGAGGTTGGCGAATATCTGAATTATCCCAGGGGACCAGATCCTGTATGGGATCGTGAATCAGCTTCGTTCATTGCACGCTTTTCGAACGAAGGAAAATATGTTCAGACGGGGAGGGAAAAAGAGGAACGAAAAAATTGAATCGGAAACGAGAATTGGAAAACTCACCACCATGTCAACCAGAACACCATGTGCGAGAAGTTTCCAATGATCCAGATCCACCTGCTCCTGCACTTCCTGTAGGGTCAAAACGCCGGGCATATGGATGTCAAATAATGACATATCTTCTTCATTAACTTGAGGTTCAATGTTCGATCGCTTGATCGCTGTGCTAGTGGGCTGTCCTTCGACATTACCCCCTGGTTGGGTTGTTCCACCTAACGTACGGTCATGAGAAAGAGATACGTATGGACGACGATCAAGCTCCTCTTTGTAGGCATCGAAGGGATCCCAGGTTAAGCTTTCTGGGTCTATTTTATATATATGTCAGGAGCATTTCAAAATTGTTTCGGAACATCTGCGCGGAGAATGTACTACCCACCTAGAACATACTGGGGCTGAAAATTCGCCTTATACCGCATTTTTTCACAGGAGTGTATATAGAAACCTGCATGCTGTCAGTTGAGTTGGGGAGAAGACATGACTAATTATGACAGGATTGAAAATCGAATATTCTCCTCGTACCCATATAGTAGTATTGATAATTGCCCTCAATGGTTAAGGCGATTTCTCGGAGAGCACTAAGTTTTCCAAATTCATATTCGCTGTACTCTGGGTCGTAGCTGCTAGCTGTCAGTCCATCTACTCACTTTATGGAATTGTGGTTTGTAGGGCCGGTACTGTGAAACCATACAATAGGTAAACCGAGCTCACGGCATGAAGAAGCAAATCCAGAACTGCTACTGCGATAAGTTTGCCATCCAACCGGTAACACTGATGATAGGATCCCAGCCTCTGCTCCTTTGAACCTTCTTTAACAACCTTTCTATTAATACCTGTGCATAAAAACCGCTTAAATGAATGGACGTTCCATCTTGATGCCGGCTCATTGTGTATTTGCATTTGATATTTAAGGAAGAGGTCATATCTGCAAAAAATTGTCAATTTACTTCGCTCTTAGGGGGATCTGGTGTTAAAAACATGGAGATAGAAATAGAGAAAGGGGACGAACTTCGCTTGTGAGAAAGAATCCGACTCAATATTCACGTCAAACCGATGTGCCGGTTCAATGGGCCTTTTCGTTTTTGGATCCCTGGGTCTCTTAACGTTGGTGTATTCCACTTCATGGACTCGGTGGAGTAAATCAAACTTTGTCTTCCGCAATTTTTTCTCCCTATATAGAGTTAACCATATTGTTATCAGATCTCTACTGAAATCATGAAAACTCCAAGCACCTTAAAACCTGAAAGGTCCGGGGAGGGGGGGGGGAACAAAACTAGCCGGGCAACATACTCTCTAGTTTTTGGACAAAGTCTTGCGGCACTTCGGATATACGACTGGCCCAACACGAATTTATTCCAGCGATTCATGGCTAGTCTTTGGTCTTTTCTAGGCTTGAAAGGGATAGGGTCCAGTCTATCGACGGGGGGATGGTTAGAACGAAGAGGGTAGGACACCCGAAAAAAGGAGCGCTAATAAAGCACATAAAAGAACATTCATATCCATGCACACCTTATTGTATAATGCGGACAGCACGAGCGTTTCAGATTTTGCTTGTAGTAAAGTGATCCGGACCTAAACAGATACTTCAGCTCAATCCCATCTTTGCCCCTTAATGGCACAAAAAAAAAAAAAAAAAAAAAAAAAAAAAAAAAAAAAAAAAAAAAAAAAAAAGCACAGTTCAAAAGCACAATAGATGAGCATATTCTTACCGTCTCCATCCTCTATCGAGCAGCTCCTGATACTCCTCCACGCGCATGCCTTTGGACGAGGCATAGTAGGAGACGCCTATCCAAACATATCTGCTGTCAGACTCCATCTACCTACATTTCGTTGGCTCGTACATTACGTGAAATTTAAGGCCTGAAAGGCTGTTAAAAAAGGCGAGACCAACTTCCATTATCAGACTTGCAATAGCCGCATGAGTTCCGCTGGTATCCTATACATCATCAATATGTTAGCGTTCTGGGTCATCTCGCCGCGTGGGCACGTGCAACATAGTTGGGAGGGACGGGATTTAGAAGAGCCCAGCAACAAGTCCATAGTAGATTGAATACAGCTAAATCCCCTTCACAAAAGCAACAGATGGTTCGTAGTTCGCCGTTATCCAGAGGGAATTTGTCTGCTTACCGTTTGGCGTGATAAAGGATAGCGCTGGCTGTCTCGGCTGCTTCTCTTCTTCGTCGGAGGATGACATCCCAACGACTTCTAAGATAGAGGAACCTTCACAGTTTTTACAACTTGTTATTTGGGGATAGTTGACATGAAAACTACGCGGTCCATTAAAACCCAGCGTCAAATATTTCGTTACAATATTAAAAATGGATCGAACTGTGATAACAAGCTGTAAATGAACAGGGAAGATGTTTCGATAAAGTAGAGGCTTGGCGATGCCAAGACGGGTAGCAAGAGCGGAGAATCCCGTGACCAAGGGTAGATTTCCAAGGTTGTAGAATCTCTTATATGAAAGATCTCAGAACTAGAATATAGAGAATTAATATTTTCATATTTTTGCTAAATAGATAAACATGAAGGGTCTGTGATAATAAAAAAGAACATTTGA